GTCACAGTCTCTTAACTTGTTCACCAGTATGGGGTGGGATACCGTATCGAAGGCCTTCCTGAAGTCTAAGTATACGACATCCACCCCTCCTCCTGTGTCCAGGCGTTTCGTAACCTGGTCATAAAAAGAAACTAGATTGGTCAGGCACGATCTACGTGCTACGAACCCGTGCTGGTTTCCCCTCAGCATAATTTGTCCTGCCGGGCTCTCACAAATGTGAGCCTTGATAATTTTTTCAAAGACTTTGCCAAGGATGGAGGTGAGACTGACTGGCCTATAGTTGCCCAGGTCCTCCTTCCTCCCCTTTTTGAAAATGGGGACCACGTTGGCCCTTTTCCAGTCCTCTGGGACTTGGCCCGTGCGCCACGAGCTTTCAAATATTCCCGCCAGTGGCTCTGCAATGATGTCAGCCAGTGCCTTCAGCACCCTCGGATGGAGCTCATCCGGGCCTGCCGACTTAAAGGCATCCAGTTCTTCCAAATGACTCTGCACCATCTCAGGGTCTACACATGGTAGTCTGGCGCCTTGCTGCTGCCTCTCTACAACCCCAGTGAGAGACTTGTCATGCCCCTCACTTAGGAACACTGAGGCAAAGAACTACATCTTCTGTAGTTAAGCTGGGCCTATAGAAGAAGGGCAAATTGAGGTACTATGGGTCAGATTACAGGGGGGTCAGGGAGACAGGGACTTGGTGGGGGGCTCTATTACAGACCCCCACACCAGAGAGAAGAGTTAGACCTAGAATTCTCAAGACAGCTCTCGGAGGCAGTGCGCTCAAAGGAGCTGGTTGTCATGGGCGACCTAAACTTCCCAGACATCTGCTGGGAGGAACAGGCAGCCAGGTCTGCCTGTTCATGCAAGTTTCTAACCTGCTTACAGGACCTCTACCTAACACAGGAGTTAAATGTTCCCACTAGGAGAAATGCCTTACTAGACTTAGTGCTGGCCACAGGGGATGACTTGGTGGAGGACCTGCAGGTACGAGGTAACCTAGGGGATAGTGACCACCTATTCAAAGAGTTCCCTATCTGGTGAAAGGTGGGAAAGATAACTAGTAGGGCTAAAGTGCCAGACTTCAGGGAGGCCAACTTCAACAAGTTCAGGAGATTAGTTAGGGAGGGACTGACGGGCAAAAGCATTGGAGAGATGGGAGTCCAGGAAGGTGCGCGTTTCTCAAGGGACTGATCCTGCAGGCACAGAAAGGGAACATCCCAGTATACATACAGGGGGGCAAAAGAGCAAAAAAATCCTCTTGGTTGAGCAGGGAAATCCAGGACAGCCTGGAGGGGAAAAGAGAGGCCTACAGGCTGTGGGGGGAGGGGCAGCCACCAAGGAGGAGTATACCTGCTTGGCTCGAGCTTGCAGGGAAGCAGTGAGGAGGGCCAAAGCGGAAACAGAGCTTAGGCTGGCAGCAAAAGTTAAGGATAACAAAAAGTAATTCTTTAAATACATAGGAAGCAAAAAGAAAGAGCAGGGCTCCTTCATGATGGACTACGGCAACTGGTAACAGATAGGATGCCCAAAGTGGAGCTCCTAAATGATTTCTTTGCATTTGTGTTTCTGAACACAGATACAAGCATGCATCCCTATGGGACTTTAGGTTAGCGCGAGGTAGATACCAACCCACCATTAGTGCTGACCTAGTAATGGGGCACTAGGAGGGGTTGGATGTATTTAAGTCAACAGGCCCTGATGATCCTCATCCTAAGGTACTTAGGGAATTAGCTGGAGTCACAGTGGAACCACTGGCGTGACTGTGCACTCACGGTGCTCAGGACAGTTTCCAGAGGCCTGGAAAAGGGCCAATGTGGTCCCTATTTTCAAGAAGGGGAGGAAAGAGAAACCAGGTAACTATAGGCCAGTTAGCCTCACCTCTATCCTTGGCAAGACCTTTGAGAAAATTGTTAGGGATGACATTTGTAGGGGAATAGTGGGTACAATAATGTTAAGGGGCAACCAGCATGGGTTCATAGAAGGCAGATCCTGCCTGACTAACCTGGTTTCTTTTTACAACCAGGTCACAAAATGCTTGGATGAAGGGACAGAAGTAGATGTTATTTACTTAGATTTTTAAAAGGCTTTTGACACAGTGTCGCACCCAATTCTTATAAATAAACTAAACAGTTGCAATGTAAATTATTACACAGTCTGGTGGGTGGAACATTGGCTTATGGGATACACCCAGAGTGGTGGTGGATGGGTCAGTTTCTACTTGGAGAAATGTGGGGAGTGGAGTCCCCCCCAAGGCTCTGTCCTGGGACTGGTACTGTTCAATATCTTCATTAGTGACTTGGATGAGGGAATAAAAAGCACCCTGTCCAAGTTTGCTGATGACACCAAACTATGGGATGAGGTAAGCAAATTACAGGGCAGGGAGTGAATCCAGGCAGATTTGGGCAGGCTGGGGAAGTGGGCAGAACAGAATAGGATGCAGTTTAACAAAGATAAGTACATGTGTTGCACCTGGGGAGGAAGAATCATCAACACTCCTATAACCTGGGAGGTACCATTCTAAGTAGCACAACTGCGGAAAGGGATCTCAGAGTCGTAGTCGATTCCAAAATGACCATGAGTCACCAGTGTGATGAGGTAATAAGTAAAGCTAACCAGACTCTTTCTTGCATCAGTAGGTGCATCACAAACATGTCTAGGGAGGCGATACTTCCTCTCTATGCGGCATTGGTCAGGCCGCAGCTGGAGTACTGGTGTACCGGCACCACACTTAAGAGGAATGCAGAGAACCTGGAAAGGGTTCAGAGTCTGGTTAAAGGCCTACAAGAAAAACCCTATATGGACCAATTGAGGGACCTGAATCTCTTTCAGCCTCCGCAACAGAGGGCTGAGAGGTGATCTTGTGGCTGTCTACAAACTCATCGGGGGGGCAACAGGAAATAGGGGATAAGATGTTTACCAGGGCGTCCATCAGGGTAACTAGAAACAATGGCCACAAACTGAAGGAGAGCAAATTTAGATTGGACATCAAGAAAAAATTCTTTACAGTGAAGGTTGCCAAAATATGGAATACGCTTCCAAAGGAAGTGGTGGTATCTTCTCCATTGGAAGTATTTAAGAAGAGATTGGACAAACACCTGGCTGAGGTCATCTGGCCCCAGCACTCTTTTCTGCTTGGGACAGGGGGTCAGACTTGATGATCTAACAGCTCCCTTCCGACCCTAAAATCTATTAAACAGAAGATAGGACTCCAATTCAGTTTCTCATATTTTCTTTTCATCAATTTAGCTGCATCACTGCAAACTCCTAACGTATGTGTAGCTTACACTGCTACAACTTACCACAGTTCCAAACCATGGCACAATGTGTCCTCGTTACGGTTTCTGCAGAAGTAGAGCCAAATCAGTAGAAACCACCTCTTCCCGCACAAGTACATTTCTACTTAGAGTGGACACTGATCAGATTAAAACAGGCAACTGCAAAAGGTACTCCAACATTCTGCAAATTCAAATTCTTGTTTGCACATGATCAGCAGCACATCCATCCCATTGACCACTGGCATTCATCTTCAAAGAACATGAACCAAATTCAGATCTGAAATAACTTCACTTACTTTGGATGAGATGATTGAGTAATATGGCCTTTTATCCTAGTCTTAATTTAATGTAATGCATTTCAAATGGATAGCACAAGGAGGTTTCACTTTTAAGTCCTTTCCCTAAAAATAAGTAAAAATATGTACACCTTGCCTTCTAGACGTGAAGAATGTCAGTTTTCAAGCATGTAAATCTCACTTTTGGTACCTGTTGCGCAGTAAGTGGAAACGCACCAAAAACAGCCCAGATAATCGCCCACTACTAGTGTGATCGCCCACTACTAGGGTATGTCTGGAAGTGATATAAAGTCCCTGTACATAATCCAGAATTTACATTTAAGTTTTCTGAGTGTGTACCAGTGATAAAATTAAATTAAAAACCAATTAAAAAAAGCTAACTTTATGTCCCTTGTTCATAAGCAGTGCTCAGCATTCGCTGACACCACCTCTTGAGGAAAATGAATCTCTTCCATCCTTTGCTTAATCCAATATAACATTAAAATGTTTAATTGTAGCACTGGCACTTAACTCTGTTGGATAAATGCAAAATCTAGTACAACAGGTCTGCACTGATTTACTCCTTTACTTTTTCTAGTCCATTTTTTGCACTGGATATTTTGATACATCTTTACCTGTCTTCTCTCATTCCTTCTCTCTTCCTCCAAGACTCTTACTTTTTATGTCTATGTATTATATTCCTTCCTTTTTCCTCTACTCTTTTCAATCTCTTTCCAGTTCTTTAGGTTCACAGAAATCAACACTTCACAAAAAGGAATGAAGGGCAGAGAGAAAGAGGGAAAAAGGGGCATTAAGGAAACTGTAGGTTAGCAGGAAGAAGAGGTGTGCCACCTGCAGTCTTCTCCTTCCTACTGGCAAACTCCTTTCATTCTGGGATCCCTGCCTAAGGAAGCAGTAGTATAGGTAGGTCTCTCTCAGTTCCCAGAGAAGTCAAATGAAAGACTAGTTCCTGGAAGGTGTTTTTTCAACCTTGCCTCTTCTCAGTGAAGAGAAGCCAAGTGATAGCAAACCCACAGTTAAGTTCTACAAGCAAAGTAAGAAAAAACTCTGAACCACTCTCTGCTGGTTCTGTTTGGTCTTGCATTAAAGCTTCCCCCCCTGCTTTGCACCATCCAGACATATACCATATAACTTGCTGTTGCTCTGCTGAGACAATTTTTCCCTCAGTAGAAATGCTTACAGCTTCAATGTAAATCAACAGCAACTTGAAAAGGTAAGAAGTACTGTGACCAGCAAAGCACATTGCAACAAGTTACAAACTATCCCCACTAAGAACTAAAGGTTTTATATTTTTCAAAGGATCCAGGTGAATTGACTCATCTGAAGTAAAGTTCAGATACTACAAAGGATATAATTTGGAGGAAGAAAGTTCCAACTTAAGACCTGATTGGCTAGTGCAAGATAACGCTGAAACACCGAAGACATCTGAGCATTGAGGTTTTCACGTCTGCTGAATTCCTGAAGTACCTCTACTGTAAGCATGAAGATCTGCCGGAGATCATCCTCCTACAATCACAACAAACGTATGTGATTAAATGGATTCTCTCAAATCACGTACTAGATTCTTGATCAGAAAAGGTTAGAGAGAAGAAGGAAAATTCTTCTCTTTAGAAAGTCTATTTATTCATTAAAATACATGAAATATTATGAAAGACCCTACTTTTTTCCCTAGTCTATAAAACAGGATTTAAAAAGTTTAAGCCTGATTTTTCATGAACAGTAATTAAGAGAAAAACATAAAAATACCTCTAAAAATTAAGAGACGGGGACTTGGTCTTAGCTTATCAACGTTTTTGTGCCAATTTCACAGCAATCAAAGAACTTAAAGCAAATCCTTCACAAAAACATTTCTCCATAGCCAAACAATACATCTGAGACAACCAGACCACACCATCTGCAATAATATTTTTAAATACATGGCACTCCTTGGCTTTAAACCAAAGCTATATTTAAGTCTATCATTGTTCCACAGAGCATTAGTTTTATCTGCAGGGGATTAAGAGTACTACTACTGTATAAAGATCCAGAGATTGAGGTTCATAAAGAGTTTTAAAAATGTTTCATGGTCCTGAAGCAAATATTTTTTTAAAACTGCCAAGATGTTTACTAAAATAAGGAATTAATATATGGGTTATAACAGAGTTCTTATGCATAAATTTTGATTGAATACATAGTTGGTACATGAGAACTATTTTAATAAAGCTAAATAGTCTGCATTAATACACATTAATTTTTTTTTTTACCTGAAATATACGTTTACAGTTACCATGGAACTCCATGCTTAATCCAATGTTGCTGGTTTTACTTGAACTTGAAAACTCACTCAACAATGCCGTTAAAATAGAACAGGCCAAAGTTTGCTATAAAAAAATAAAAGGAAGAACAAAGATGTTCAATAAAATAATGATGTTTAATTATATTTTAAATTACTTTATTAAAATATCCTTAGAAGATGGCTGAAAAAGTAGTCAAACTAGAACAGTGGCTCACCACCTTTCCTCAGATCATGAAGCACATTAGAGTCCATTTATTGGGCAAAACATCTCCCCTTATCTAAAGGATTTTGGTATTTGGGCAACATGAAAAATTAACTTTAGTAGAATGTAACAACATGAGAATGCATTTGCTCTACCTACAGATTTACATGGAAACCATAAACTATTTCACTAGCCATATTATTTATTTCCTCTCCCTGTGTCTGGGGTTTTACATTTATTACTAATAGGGAATATTCTGCTTCCAGCATCCTCCATTGGTCTTAAATGTTCAAATAATTTGAAGTTTATTAGGGCACTCCATTCCATTTGCTACATTTACCATATTAGTGTCTAATCATGATTAAGAGTCACCCCAAACACAAAGCTTATAAACAAACAAACAAAAACCACCCCACCTCTCAAAAAGCCCCCTAGAATCACCACAAAAAAGCAGAAACCGTGGCGAGATTTAAAAGAAAGCATCATTGCTTGAAGACAAAAATGAGCATACGAGCCATTAGAAAGCACCTTACCAGCTATACTATGAGAATTACAAGTCCAGTAAGTTTGTACAAAGTGTGGAAGACAATCATTTATAGTGAGGTGGCCACTGTCAGCTCCTATCTGACTGAAGTCAAGTAAACCTTCATATTCACAAAACTTAAGGCAATGATCAGGACACATTAAAATTTATACAAAAGAGCTTTTATAAAAAACCCAAAAAACAACAAACAAACACCCCCCCCATCCCTGCCCTCAACACAACACAACCGGTGTCATAAAATACACATTTAAACTGGACTCTCTTCTTTTCCCCACATACACTGCAAAATTAAACACTTTTACCAAAGTAAGCTTTTTTTCAGAAAGGTTGCTTGTGGGCTGTTATTTCTGAGTTTCTATTTTCCCTAGTTTATCGCAACTGACTTTGCACACAAAAGCAGCAAATATTTTGTATTGAAGAGGTGACTAAAATCCATAAATGTTCCATATACTACAAAAACGTGCAACAGAAACTACATATTGAAAAAATGAAAGTATTTTTATTCGATAGATGCATCCCAATGCAAAACTTCAAAATTACTGACTTTACTCCTAGACTGTTTGGAGCCAAGGTGCCAAGGATGGCCAGAGGGGCAGGAATTGTTAAGGGGTCATGCATGCTGGCAAATACCCAGGGGTTAAATAGAAATATGCACACTACCTCTGAACACCCGAAAGATTAAAGTTGAGATGATACTATTTATGCAAGCTCATACAACAGCTGAGAGCAGTGCCATCCACCCACCAACTGCAACATCTTTGTTCAGAAATGCCTCTGATGTCAGTACCTTGACCCTACAGACAACTAGTTGTCTTAGCTAGTACGCATTAAATTAACATTCTTACTTGCTAAATAAATCTCAGACAGATCCAGCAAACATGGTCATGTCATGTTTATTTGTGGGTGCAATTTCCTTATGTATGTTAAAAGTGTACAGTATGTCAGCTTACCATAACTGAGCGCTAAATCCAAAAGCTCCTATTCAAATATAATTATTAATTTCAATTCTATTTGAAATAGTCTTTGTTCTCTACAATCATAAATTGGGAAGATTTTTTTTTGACACTGAAAAACACCAAAACTTTAAAGTGCTTGACGATCAGTTTGGTCTTTCTAGTACACAATATGTTAATTTTATGATTCCCAAAGCACTATGGGAATTTCTGGCTAGCTAAATTTCCAGAAACAAATTCAGAATTCAGGCAATAATGAAAGCAAACATTTGAATTAAACACCAAAAATGAGTCTCCTTTAAAAATGCAGGAGTTTAGAAAAATTAAAACTTTTATTAGTCACTTTTTAGAGTCATGCGTCTTGCATGTCCTTGCAAGTTATGTTTTTAAAACAGCTGAATTGACCAAAGAGGTTATACAGTTTCATATGTTACATACTGATAATAAAAATTATACAGGCTTCCATAAATGCTTCACCAAGTCACCAATATTTTTAGGTTCTAGGAAGCAGTGCTGCATAGACATACTTAAAGGCAAACAACAAATTGCACTCCGATACTTTACTACATTAGTTCCATGTATAAGGATGTTATATCACAATGATAACAATACAATAATTAAATCATATCTGCCTATCAAACAAAGAACTGATGGCCCTCTTAGCGTGTTCACTACAGAAAACAATATGGCAACCAGAGCACTGATATAAGATGGCAACCATCTACAGAAGGGGTGTCAAACATAAGTCCATTCCAACTGGCCAGGTAGTAGTTCAGCATAATACCAAAAGCTGGGAGGCACGGCCTGCCACAGTATTCAGGGTCCCTGGACATCTCCCTGGCAGTGCCCTGGACTTATGGTACTGCCAGAACATAGCCCTACACTGCTGTCCAGTCAGTCCCACAGCAATTGTTGCTGGCCCCATGGATCCAGCCTGGAATGAGCCCCTGTGGACTAGATCAGCCTGGAGCTGGAGGCACATTTGACACCCTTGATTTACTGAGTTCAAATGCAGCAGTGCCTGGTACTTACTGCACCTCCTTTGCTTGCATATAAACCAGCTAAATGTAGTCCAAAATACAGGCTCATTCCCAATTAGATCATTCCAGCCAGAGCTTTGTCAAGCTGTGCCTTAAAAACCTCCAAGGATGGAGATTCCACCACTTCTCTAGGTAACCTGTTCCAGTGCTTCACCAACCTCCTAGTGAGAAAGTTTTTCCTAATATCCAACCTAAACCTAAACTTCCCTTGATGCAACTTGAGACTATTGCTCCTGGTTCTGTCATCTGCCACCACTGAGAGTCTAGCTCTATCCTCTTTGTACCTCCACTTCAGGTAGTTAAAGACTGCTATCAAATCCTCCCTCAGTCTTCCCTTCTCCAAACTAAATGAGCCCAGTTTTCTCAGACTCTTCCTCATAAGTCATGTGTCCCAGCCTCCAAACCATTTTGTTGCCCTCTGCTGTACTCTCTCCAACTTGTCCACATCCTTTCTGTAGCGGGGGGACCCAAAACTGGACACAATACTCCAGACGTGGCCTCATTAAAGAATAGAGGGTAACAATTGCTTCTGTTGATCTGCTGGCAATGCTCCTACCAAAGCAGCCCAGTATGCTGTTAGCCTTCTTGGCAACAATGGCACACTGCTGACCCGCATCCAGCTTACTGTCCACTGTAACCCCCAGATCCTTTTCTGGAGAGGTGCTGCTTAGCCAGTTGGTCCCAAGCCTAGAGTTATGCATGGGATTCTTTCATCCTAAGTGCAAGACTTTGCACTTGTCCTTGTTGAACCTCATGAGATTTTTTTGGCCCAATCCTCCAATTTATCTAGGTCACGCCGAATCCTAGTCCTACCCTCCAACCTCTCTACTACTCCCTCCAGCTCGGTGTCATCCACAATCTTGCTGAGGGTGCACTCTATCCCATTTTTCAGATCATTAATGAAGATATTAAACAAAACCAGCCCCACGACTGTCCCCTGATCCAACCCATTGCTTCCATAGCTGACTTGCAAGAATGCTGAGAGACCGTATCAAAAGTCTTGCTGAAGTCAAGATATATCGCACCCAATGCTTTTCCTGCATCCACAGAGCCAGTCATCTCATCATAGAAGGCAATCAGGTTCGTCAGGCATGACATGCCCTTGGTGACTGTTCCTGATCGCTTTCTTCTCCTCCAACTGCTGAGAAGTAGATTCTTTTAGGACCTGCTCGTGTTCAATTTAAAGCATGATAAATGAGCCAAAGATGGTACACCTTGTATGTGGATTCATAGATGTTAGGGTCGGAAGGGACCTCAATAGATCATTGAGTCTGACCCCCTGCATAGGCAGGAA